CGTAGTATAACTGTCATTCGAAAATTCAGAGTTTACTTTAGGCGTCTTTATAGACTTATCTAAGACTTTTGACACAATTGACCATGAAATACTGTTTAAAAAACTTGATCATTATGGTATCACTGGTAATGTTTTAAAACTACTATAAAGCTATTTAAAACATCGCAAACAATTTGTCTATGTCGACGGATATTCTACACAAGATTATCTAAATGTAACTAGTGGAGTCTATACTAGGGCCTTTATTATTTCTAATTTATGCCAACGATCTCCATTAAGTCCCAAAATTAACAACTATAATGTTTGCTGATGATACCAACCTATTCCTATCTAATAATAACATCAATAAACTTTTTTATGATATGAACATTGAACTAACAAAAATATCTGACTGGTTTAAGTCAAATAAACTTTCACTCAACATTGATAAAACTAAATGGATTTTTTTTCATCCACGATTTAAAAAACATTTACTTCCAAGTAATATGCCTCTTCTTCATATTGATACTATTCAAATAAAAAGAGTAATTTTCACAAATTTTCTAGGTATCATTTTAGATGAAAATTTATCATGGAAGAATCACATCGGACATTTATGCAACAAAATTGCAAAAAGCATTGGAGTTTTATATAAAGCAAGAAGCGTTTTAAACAAACATTCATTAAAACAACTATATTACTCTTTTATACACTGTCATATTAATTATGCTTATATTGCATGGGGTAGTACCCATAAAAAATAAATTAAAGCTACTTTATTTTCAGCAGAAGCATATTGCACGTCTTATAAATTTCAAAAATCGTTTTACTCACTCAAGGCCACTCTTATTTAACATAAATATTTTTAATATGTATCAATTAAATGTTTATAATGTTCTTTGCTTTATGTTTAAATGTAAAACCAACTCATCTCCAGCTTCCTTTTTTGATTTATATTCTTTAAAAGAAAAAGTTAAATATTCTTTAAGAAATGATAATTTTATAAAACAACCAAAATTTCAAACAAGCTTTGGTAAATTTTGCATTTCTTTTCGTGGAGCTTTTTTATGGAATAATTTTATCAAATAATTTTAAAAATTTTTTATTTTTCTAATGAATGGAACTATTATATGTTCGAAAAAAAAATTAAAAAAAGTAATTTTCTCAATTGAAAATATATTTATATACTTTTAATTATACCCAGTTTTGTCATCACTTATTTGTATTTTACTTTTATACGATATTGATTTAACTTTTATGTGAGGAACTATATTTAAACACCATTATTTGAATTTTGTTAAAAGTTGCACTGACATTATTTGTACAGTAGTTTATTATTATTTACACGTTTACTTTAATTTTTATTTTAATTTGTAATATTTGTAAATAATTTGTCTTACGAACGGTATACTTTTAATATTGAGTTTGATTTTGTAATAAAATAAAAAAAATTTTAATATATTTATATATATTATTATTATAAAAAAAAAATAAAAAAACAAAAATTGATGTATGTGAATGGGTGTATCTGCAAATATTGTATGTATGATACTTCTGGAAGTTAACCATCCTTTGACAATGGTTTAGCACTTTTGTCGGTGGAAGCATAAACATAAACGCACCAACATTTAATAATTTTGGCTTCACACACAGAGACACCATCATTTGGCTTTCTAAACTCTTCTACACAATCTTTTGGACAAACTTGAAGTGCATTTTTATTTATTCAGTTTTGTAAAGTATAGACAAGTTAGGAAGACATAATATCATCTATTTCTCAATTAAGAATGGATATACTTCTTTTATTTGTAGTTCAATTGTCATTGGTGGAGATAGTAGAGTTTGAAAGTAGGGCTGTCGTGAGTGGGTGTCAAGTGGAAGAGGAGGGGGGAGGGGGAGAGCTAACGAATTTTTGTTGAAAACATATTTAACACATAAAAATAAACCTAAATTTCAGGGCAGACATAATGCCACGATTGTTATGGGTATACTAAGAAGGCGCATTGCCGCAAAAGTTCATTTTTGACAGCTTCTCCTTCCCAGGATCTTGCAGGCACATAATGTTTTTTTTGTATAAAATTAATTATGTCTTAGTGGCTTTCAAAAAACAACTAAGAAATTCATGTACAAGTTATGGACTTAGGAGATAATAATGCTCAAAAATTTTAAATTTAGTGATTTTGAACCGTGATTTCTAGACAACAAAAAGTGTAACCCCATTGAATTTTTATTTTTACTGTAGAAATCTACCCAGAATAGCATATAAACAAAAAAAGAATGCGTCTCTAAATTTCATGTTACTAAAATAGCCCCTCAAAGTAACAATTTCACCCCATGGACAAATAATTTCATAAAATAGGCCGAAATTCGTGACCTAATATCCACCCAAATAAAAAAGGTTTTTTAAAAATTTAACAGTGGCTTAATTTCATTTTTTCCTACAAAATATCTGAAAATGAAAACAAGACATCACTTCCAGAATTTGCGTATTTTGTTTATATTTCTCAGGTAATAGCTCTTAATCATTCATTTCATAACGCAACAAAAAGTGCATCTCAGTGAGTGCGTTCATAATTATTTAGTTGCGCAGTTGCTCTATTTTTAAAAATCAAAAAAGGAAAAAAAATTATATTTGGTTGAAGTAAATTATTTTAAAAGTTATTTAAAGTTAATTTTAACAATAAAAAGGCCTTAACTCGAATCCCTAAACGTAATTTATTTTATAAAAAAAAATCGTTTTTTTTTTTAAAGAAAACAAAAACCGCTGTTTATTAATATGTCGCAATATTTACGCAATAATGGGTATTTCTCAAAAAGTAAGTAATTTTAAGAGTTCATTTTGAATTCAAACCACC